TGTGTGTGTGTGCGTGTGTGTGTGTATGTATCCACATGCTTTTGAGCCTGCGAGTTTATTAATAAATGTGTTTCCAAACTCACCCCCAAGAACTTTTCCACTTGGAGAGAGGGCTAGAGTGAGGTACTTAGCGAATCGACTGGAGTTACTGTTGAGCACGGTGCTGGCGTTGCCAAATGCCTCCAACAGTGGATTCACCTGCAGAATAAAGTGTTCAAAAATGTATAAACTTAACACCCCTTTTATCGCTGGCTGTAACATCTGCAAACGATTCGACTATACGTGAGCTCATTCAGGCTGACCATGACGAAAATATTTATCGAGATCTCATATCAAACTTCCCTGAGTGGTGTGAAACTCATAAATTGCTTTTAAATGTGAAGAAAACCCAAAGTGATTGTTGTCGACCTAAGAAAAAAGAAATTGTTCCTGCAGCCACTCCAAATTTAAAAGAAAGACGTCTAGCAAGTGTCAAATGCCAAGTGTTTTGGGGGTTTCCATGGACAGCAAATTTTACTGGCATTTACACACTTCTCTCCAGTATTAAAAAGGGGAACTATTTTACTAAACAAGCTAAGGCATCAATAAATAATCGCTTTCCATATTTTGTCACTCAACCACAGACTGTACGATAGACTTCTGTATGACAGCATGGGCCAAAAACACAAAACATCAAGATAAAGCAATACTGAATAGATTAATACTCGAAGCAGGCAAAATTTCAATATTATTATACACTCTCTTATTTCGATGAAATATACAATATCGTTGGTATAATCTAATATTGAAGTGATAAGCTGTCTCTTTATTTCCATAGATATATTTGGATGAGATGGAAGGGTAGAAAGCTAATAGGTGACGATGTTTTCTGTTTTTCTCAAAATAAACCCATTTTCCGTAAAAATGCAGCCAAGAAATCTAAATTCCTTGACCATTTTAGTTGTTTTTTTTATTCACTTGAATGTTCAGGGAACTATTGTTGTGAGGAGATAAACTAGAAACAGGCGACGTAAAGTTTGTTAACTCAACACTAAGACTAATATGCACATTATTTCCAACATCAGAACATCATCATCGCCACCATAAATAATCATCATCATGATGACCATTACCGTCACTGTCACCATCACCATCACCACCATCATCATCATCATCATCATCATCATCATCATCATCATCATCATCATCATCA